GACCCTCAAGTTCTAATGTATGAAGACCTGTGCCAAATTTAAGATTAACTATTCTGTGCTCAATGAAGTTATAAATTAAGTATGAAAGAAACTGAATTGAGAAGTTTTAGTCTGTGACTCCAGAAGTCATGCCAGACAATTCTGCTGAATGGTGACAGCTTCTTTCTACCTCTCTTATCCCTTATTTCTGGTCACCTGAGATAATCCCTTTTTTATTTCAACTAAATTAGCTGAGGAACCCCTCTCTGCAGTCACTAACAGAGTAGAAAATCATCTGTGTGTTTCTGCTGGCTTAATTTTTCGTTCTACTTTAGAAGCTCTGATCCAGGAGGTTTTGACAACCTTTGGAGCTGAAATGAAAAGAGCATCAGGAGGTTGTTCCTGAAGCTGCAGTAAAATGGAAGAAGTCAGTTCTTCTCTTTTTAGTAGCAGTGAACTGCTAGAACAGCTCCTCACATTTCTCCATCAAATCTTTAGAACACTTGAGAAATGTGAGCTACGATCTAAAGCTCTTTGCCAAAGAATTTTTGCCAACTCCCCTTTCTGAGTGCTGTAGTTTTCCTTGCTCTCTTGCTCCAGCTTCATCCCTTCTACAAACCCTCAGTGAGCCAAACAGGCTCAGCAGAACAGAAGAAAAGCAGTCCTGATTTTCTTTGCTTTTGCCAGGTTAGCTTTCTCTGATCATTTTGTGAACTCAGTCAACTCCCTAAGACATCAGACAAGCCCAACGGCTACTGGAAAGTAGGACTTGACAATGACCTGAGCCCTAACGCATTTCAGAATAGATCTTTGGGGACAGTGTCATTATGGCAATGGGAAGTAAATTCACAGTGCTGATAAAGGTTTCCTTAGAGCAGACGGAATTGCCTCTTTAACATAAACTACCACCCTTAGAGGATGTTCCAGGCCAAAATGAGCAAGTCTATGAGAGGAGAGATTCAAATGAGACTAACACAGATCTATGATGCACTCAATACATCCTAAAGCTTCCTTGTAAGTATAATCACTCAGAGCTCAGACTAAAATATCATACCAGCACTCTGATGCCAGTGTACTGTGGATTGGGAAATAAACCTGTCCAGACTTGTCTGGGAGCTGGAAAGTGGATTAGAAATGCCTTTGTACCTCCTTTCACTGCATTAACTACATCTTGTGTTTAGGTGCCAACTTAGACCCTTACGCAAATATTGTTTCAAATAGTTAATAATAAAATTCTTAGAAGTGCTTTTAGGGGCTATTTGTCTCTAGAAGTGTGTTGTGAAAAAATTCAAATGAATTATTATACTTCTATTAATATAATTAAGAATAAATGTGTCAAAGCTAGTAAGCCAACTGGATGCCCAGATTAGACCCGGTTGCACGCTTACTGCAACCACACCTTTGCACACAGCGTGGCAACACCACAAAAGTAACTCCCACTTAAACAGCCTGAACATGAATATCATTTGGCAAGGGAAAAGTGATTATATTCCCTATGCGCTCAAACCTTCTCCTCACTGATAATGGTGTGGTTAGAAAAGGTGGATTGCACCAATTTAACTGAAAGATTTGGTCCCTTTTGTACCTGCCATGAGCCACCTCCCCTTCCCAAGCTTAACCAGCTCCATATACTAGCAGATCAATAATGCAAGTGACATTTTCTGCATGTTTACTACTCCAAACCAGAGAGACTCACCAAAGAATTATGTGAATACCAGAGCCCAGATTAGGCAAGGAGTGGTACTGACCAGCAGAAAGTGAAGTTGAAGAAATAAGTCAAAGACAAAATATGAGGGGAACCACTCCTGTCAGTGGTAAGGAGCTGTTAAATCAGCTCGGCACATCTGGTCTAACCACATCATAAGCTTCATTTTCATTCTCCTGATTTCATCTAGTACTCATTGGTATTTTTTCCCTCAATATCACTGCCCCCATCTCCTTCACAGATTGTGGAAAAATATCACGAATTATAGTCAAGCATAGTCCTTCATTATCTCTATATCAGTAATACTAAATTTCTAATCTTCAGTCTTGCTCTCTGCACAATGATCTTAAGTGATGTCCCAAAATAGACATAACTGGGATGGTTCAACTGGAAAGAGAATCCTATAAATAAATTTTTAAAAGCACCACAACTGCTGAGTCAGTAAAGCATCAAAAGATATAGAGTGCTCTGATGTTGGAAGACTTTTATGTGAAACGAAACCCAGGCACCTCCTGATCAGTTGTCATCACTGCTGACCCCCTGACTTCCCTCACAGTAGAAGTGCTGTTAACATCAGCATCCTGATGATTTTCTAGTTTCTGGAAATTTTCAGCATGCACTTTGTGAGATCTATGGCTGTATAAATGAAAGAAAATATTCTTTAACTCATCTTTTAAGTAACTGATCTATAGTGTTGCTGTGTATCTAAAAAAGGCATCTACTTTTCTTTATCTCTCAGCACCAGGGAATTAATGCACATTTTACTCAACCTGTCACGTGTACACCAATAAACAGACAAAGAGCATGCACATATACCCAGTGGTATAATAGAAAGGTTTTACTCAGCCTGGGTTTTAAATGGCCTTTTTATTTTGAAGTGGTGATTATACACTCAGATCACTTCTAGAGATCACCAAAAATGATTGCCAGTAAACTTTTTTAAAGCACCACCTGGTCATGTGTTCTTCTCCATGTCAGGTTCCGCATTGAAAATTATTTTATAAAGGCATTACAGAATTTTTAAGGCTTTTCACTGCTACTATTTTTCCTAGAAGATAAATCTTTCTATTACAGAGATTATGAGATGACTGTGCATATGCCTCTGGGGAATATTATAATTAGATGGTGATTGATTCTCTTGTAATAATCTTTTGTTTATAGTCCAACATTAACTGGCTGGTAGCAAGTACCCACTTAAAATTTAGAACTTTCCTACTTCTGAGAGTATAAAACAGCTATTTTTGGACCTGCAGTTGTGTGTAGGGATTTACAACAGGAACATTCAGCAGCAAGGCAGGTAGCATTACAGAAGTCCAACATTTGTTAACAGAAGAAAAAGATTTCAGATGCTTCTAGTATTCAAAATCCTAATTATTTAAAATTTATTCTGTATTTACTAAATTGCTCCTTAGAATACAGAAAAAAAAGATAGATTTTTACCATTGGAAATGCCATAAGATTCTGCAAAACAGAACACAGACTTGGTCTTTTACATGGATATGCTTTTCCAGTCTTACTAAATTTTGCCCCAGTTTGATCAAGTCACAAATAGTGGGAAATCAGTTCTTTATCATTCAGAACAATATGTTGTATATTTCAATGCTGGAGCATACTAAATTTTTGTCCTCACTCTCTGTCTTGATCAAAGTGGGCCAGTGCTTAAGAAAAAAACTAAGGAGCTAGTAATGGAGCTGTAGTATAAAGTTACAGTGATCCAAAAAAATCAGAAAGACATTCTATTTTCTACTATTAAGGAAGACTAAGAGAGCTGGGACTTTTCAGCCAAAGGAAGGCTAAGTTGAATACTGTGATTCTTTAATTATAGTTCTACAATATATTGGCTTCAAAGTAAAGGTAAAAGATTTCTCTAGCAACCTGATCTTGCATCTGCCTCTTAGTACTCAGAGTAATTCAGAGGCACAGTGAAAAGCAAAACAAAAGACCAGGAAAGAACATGGTGGGGACAAAGTATGCTGAGAGTAGCGTTTAAGAGTAGAGGAGACACTATAACAGAGCTCATAAAGGTGAAATTCTCACTTTCTTAGTGATGAGAAATAAGTTGTCTGTGAGCTACATGACTAGTTTATGGACAGACTTGAGGAAATAAATGCTGGCTTGATCTTGACTCTGTCTCATCCTACATTGTGCAGCCAGATACCAGAGCAATTTGTTGAAATGAAAATTACAGTATTATAGTATAGTACAAGGATCATTTACATACTGTATCTTTTATTCGGTTAGCAGCTGGGAAAACTCCAAAACCTTCTGTGCCATCCAAGCCACAGCTGTAAGCAATCTGATCTGTAAGGTGTTACATGAGGAAGGCCTACTCGAGGGGAAGGACACGGCAGGAACATACAATGGATGCTGGCGTAGCACCCTTACATAATCTCTGATACGCTTTTTTGAGGGAGAGGAGGAACGGAAGTCAGCTTCACCTTGAAACTGTACTTACAGCTACTCTATTATTTTAACTTGCACATTTTTGTTTGTGCTTTTAGCATTTAAGCTACAAAGTCTAATCACATATAAGTATATACATGTTTATGACTTGTGAGTCATGACATTTAATATTCTCCATCAACATTAGTATGTGTTTGTTTATAATAATAAGCTAGAGCTTATCTCATGGTAGACAAATTTCATATTACAGAATGATTGCTGAGCTTGGGAAGGTGTGCTCATTTGCATTTAATTCTTTTTTTAAGACAGTGAAATCCTGCCACCCTCTGGACAACAACTAAACTAAGACATACATTATCAGCCACAAAAGTAAAAACAAACAAAGTCATATTCATTGTTTTTTAACGTAGTTAAATTAATTGCTAGACTGAATAAAAAATAGCAGTTATTATGAAACTACAAACAAAACAATATTATAAGTACTGAATAACCTACTTAGCATTAGTCTCTAATCAAAAGGAAATCCATTCTTCACCTTTTCTAACAGCAACTTCATTGTTCACCGCTGTATTTCTAAAGAATCTGTACCAAAATACAAGTTTCTTCATGCCAAAAGATAAAAAGACTTCCATAGACCAGAACATTTTGGAATTTCTAGCGTTTCTGAGATTAAGTCAGGAGCAAATGTGTATAAAATAAGAGTTCAGGAGGAGAAAGAAAGTGAAAAAGAGTTTGTATTTTTAGTTTAATTTGTTGCTTTAAGATCTAGCAATATGAAAGAATATTTCTTGCATTCACATGGCATGCCTCACCTATTGCTAATGATAGTACTAGTCAATGCATTAATATGATCATTTGAAACAGTAAACGTCTGTTTGGGAAGGAAGGCTGTTGCATATGTGTTCTACAGTACCTTGTTTTTGCTACAGAGCCCAGTTGCTGCTGTTCTTGGATAAGCTCAGCCAACTGTTTTTGCAGAGACATATCTTTACCATGCACTTGTTTAATAAAGGGGTGCTCCAAAAGGTGGGTAACTGTAGGACGTTTCTCGAAATCTTTGATAAGACACCTGCAACAGAGAAATAGTGGTCTCATGCAACCATGTTATTTCATTACAGCACGGTTTGAGTTGGCTTACTTCACATGGTTGTTACTGCAATGTTTGTTTTTTCCACAAATTCCTTGGTATGCAGAGTTCCTGGGTATGCAAAGAAAATTTTCTTCTACATTGGAATAAAGCTGACATTAATACTTGATGAAGTAAATTCAACCTGCAACTATATTACTTATAAAATTTATGAATCTTAGATTATTTCAGTCTTTTTTTTGGAAAACTGTAACTAGCTTACTATGAAAAGTTGACATTGTAATTACTGTACAGTTAATAGACACCAAACATAACCAAAGATGAATAGACAATATTTCATTCAATTTAATTTTCTACCTACTCTCCAGTGAGAGTTTTGACCAAGAACTTCAGGACATAGCCTAATAAAATCTAAAGTGAAACTTCCAATACATCAATAGTTCAAACAATTCATTATAAGCTTTATTCTGTGCTAAAATAAATATTTCAGACAGAGCTGCTGTACTGTGATGCTAAGTTGTTAGTGGAAGAATCATAGAAAATTCTGCAAACCCTCATAATTCAGAATGGAACAGAAATGAGTGTCAGATTTAAATGCTAGTCAGGATACCAAAGTTCAGTCTGTGATAGAAACAGGTGATCAAGTAGTAGAGAGCAGTATCTTATTAGATTAGCATAAAGTGTAACGTTAATTTCTATAATAAAGATTTAAAACTGAGGATACCATAATTAAACTAGAATTCTCTTCTGTACAGTAAAGTTTAAATAATACAGTCCAAACAGAAAAATGATCAGACTGCTTTAAAGTACCCTTTAATTCTTTATATTAAAGTTACATTCTGTTTATCTCGGTTACATAAAAAAACATTTTTAGTAATTGAGAATGTGAAAAAGAAAACCTGCAATTCCATATGCATGTCTGACACAACAGCTATCATTTCAGTGAATCTAGTCCAAGATGAGTTTAATTGATGAGATGCATTCATATTATACACTTCAAAATTACATTTCATATTTGCTATCATTAAGTGTCACATCTGAAGTACTTCCTTATCAGGGGCAAGTATAACAAATAAACATTATCTTTTCACCCCCAAATTCAATGAAACTTTAATACCTTTTAGAACAACTGATAGTCTAGAAGCATCAATGAAATTATTAAAAAAAAAAAATCTAATACATGCACATTAATTGATTCTAAATATTATCAAATACATCAGAAAATGAATAACAATTTAGCCTCACCTCAAATACTTTACTGAAGTCTAAGTCAGGTCTGAAAATGATCCTGAAATGTCATCTGATAAAACTTTAATATTTTGGTTTCCTGAAAAACATTTTCTCAGTCTCTTCTTGCTACATGTAGTCCAGAAAAGACAGTCTCTAAAATCTGCTGCCAGTTTAACTGCTTTGGTGGGTTTTGCTGTCAGACAGAACTAAGGCATCCTGATAGAAAGACAACCAACAAAACCTGTGTTATCTCCTTCCTTCAGAGTACAAGGCTATAAATACAACTCCTGTCCTCCCATGAAGAAAGATCCATCATTGGCCTTTAACAGGTTCAGACTTCCTCACCACACACTCCTTTCCTGCTGTTATCCATGTTTTTTTGTCAGTACACCCACACAGACAATACAGTCCATGCCAAACCTGGTTATATTTATGTGCTTTCTGTGAAAAATGAAAAAAGCATCTGAAAAGGGAGATACCATTAATCGGATAGGCAGAAGAAAAGAAAATGCAAAACTATATAAAAATCATTACTTAATGGCAAGTGTTTGACATGCATACGTCAATCTGAAAAGCTCACAGGCTCTTGATTTTTACTAACAGCATCTAGAAATTCACATCATGTATGCTATATTGCTAATATATAAACACTCCTGTTTCATTTGATTACATCTGAAATATTATAGTAATATAATTGAATTCAGGGGAAGACATGGCTGAAGTTACTTTTTAGATAGTAACAATATGTGAGATTAAATGAAATCTTACGAAATTACATGGTTCCACTTTGTATTTACAAGAAATGCTAATATAAAAATCTTCTACCCTGCACTATGCAGTTATTACAGTAAGTTCTGCTCTGAGCTCTGGTCCAATGCACCTCCAAAGATACCCTATGGACAAGATCCAGAGGTTGCAAGAGAGAATTTTTTCCATATAGAAGGAGATGAAACATCCAAACATCCAAGATACTGCATACATAGAAGTATTTTGAGAGAAAGGGAAACGCTTTAGGGAAATAAATTCTTAGCTTCTGCATTGTGTGCCTAAAATCCTAGCTCTCTGAGTCTGGCACACATTTTTAATGATTACAGATAAGTTCCGTCAGTGAGAACATCTTGAAGACTACTTGAGGGATTGATTACCTTGGCTTCTGTTGCATATTCTTGCCATGCCTCTGTCTTGTGCAAATATTTTTTTATGTATTTTTTCATCTATATGAAGCTTTTATTTTTTGGTAGCAGAATATTTTTGCAATTTGTGGCCACTTAAGAATTCACTTGAAACACAAGTGAAACTTCAACAATTTATAAGATGACTAAGCTAGCAGCACAAAAGACAGATCCCTGTGATTGTGGGATCAAAGTCTCCATTCTAAGCTCAGAGTGTGCAAAGCTTGTGCCTTTATAAGAAAAAGTAGGCCCTCTCTGATGATCATTGGGATGCTACAACAAAACAAAGAGCTACTAACTAACATCTATTTTTGGGCCACACTTATGAGCTGGTGAAAAAGGGAAAATCAGGCTGACTGCATGTATTCCATAAGAGATCATCTACACTGGAAACAATCTACTACAGAAAACATTAATGGAGGATAGCATATTGATCATTATGATGTTAAATCCTTCATGATGGTGACTTATTACAGCACTTCCTACATGCCTGAAACAGAACTATGTGAAAAAATTAATCACATGGGTACATGGGTGCAGTTGTCATAACTAATCAGTACATCCAATCAACAAACATATTCCTCATAAAGTACAGAAAAAATAAATCAAGAAGTAATATGCAACTTCGAAATCTAACATTATAAACATTTTAGAGGAAGAGTACAGTAACTGAGCAGCTTTTATAATGTCACTTACCAGAAAATGTTATTATTCAGAATGACCAAACAAAGTCTCAGTGTGCATTGTACGTGTAAATATTAAGAAATAACATCACTGAAGGATTTGCATCTGAGGAAAGGAGGAAAAACTGTAATATCTTCAGGTATTCATCTGAGCTTGATGAATTCATTTAAGACCAATTTTGAAAGTGCCTAAGCTAGCTGTCCAACATCAAACACATTGCAATTATATATAAAACAAAAAAAAATGTGGTGCACCGGCAGTTTAAGTCAATTTATTTGGGCCATGGAGATTATGCAATATAAAACATACAGGGTAAGACTGCCTCACATGGAGCAAATTGAATAGAAAATGTATTGCAACATGAGTTTCACATAAGGTATGATGAAAATATGATCAGATGTGGTTTGCAATTTTTTGGATCTAAAATAACATGCAGTGCTAGTACAGAGAGATTGAAAAGGAAACAAACACTGTACATGGTGTTGGTCCTGATAAAAGCTAATTCATTACCTAATGTGAAATTCTAGTATCTTCCATCATGCTTTCTTAGCTGAAAATTAATTTTCAGAATTCATTAGTGTCACTACATTAAACATAGGTTGCAGCCATTTGCTGCAATCTCGCATCCAGGCTCCTAAGCACCATTTTCATTCTGCCACAATTACAGGCAAAGATGAAGCATTTATTAGCAACTGATAAAAGCAGACTCCCATACATGCAGGCCTGTCTGAAACAACCTCTAAAAATTCACTAGCTGCTTGCACTTGGATGATAACATTGTTGGAATTGCTATATCTCAACAATGTAAATTGCCGTTTTGCAAGTAGAAAATCAGATGACTGAAAGGGGAGCAATTTTATCAGCATTCATGAGCTAATATTTACTAATGAATAAATGGAAAGAAATAGATTTCTTAAGAAATGCAGTGGCAGTCTAAATCTCCTGTGTGCTTAGAAACAGAAAACAATTACTAATGTCATTCATTACTGCAGCAAAAGCAGTAGTACAGCAGCAGCAGAAGGGTTTTTTAAAATTTTTTTTTTCGATCAGATACATTATGATTTATTTGGCCTCAAATATTTTCTTCATAAAGAACACAAGAAGCTACAATTCTTATAGCTCTGATACTTTATAACTGTTCTCTAGCATATTGCTTCCTTCAATTTTTACATTTTAAAAATGCTACATTTTCTGAAGATTTCTCAATTGCTAGCAGTGGGTTGCTGACACTTGTTTTGTCTCGTGAGCCAAAGAGCCAGCGAGACATCTAGTCACTGTTTATCATCAGTGTGCACAGAAGATGAATATGTTACTTGGAAGAAATGATTACTATGTATCATATTTGTATTAGGCAGGGAACACACAGCCTCTGGGCAAAAGAGAAAAAGTCTCCAATCTGTTCAGCAACTGGTTTGACACGCTTCTCTTTGCCACTCTTCTGGCCTGTCCCTCTGCCACACTCCTCCCACCATTCATGTGCTCCTCACACAGCTCTCTGTCACTCTTCCCTGCCTTCTTAATGCTTCACTTCTTGCACAAGTACCTGCTGCTCTCTTTGATGCCTATCAATGAGGAAGCTTTCAAAGGTCTTGAATAGGACTTCAGATCTTCCTGAGGTGCTGAGATCCTCTCCTACCAAATACAGATAAAATAGTTACCAGGTTTCCCCAAAGGAAAAGATGGATTAGCTGGAAATGTAAAGAAGAGATTTCCCAAAGGAAAAAGCTGAATGAATTAGGTCATATTTTTATGACCCTTTCTCTATATGGGAAAAAGAAGGTTGTTAGGTTCTAAGATTTTATTTTTTCCTTTCCCGTATTTTCCCATTAGAAGGCTGTTCCACAGTGCAAGATTAATGAAATCCAGAAGATAGCCCAAATTGGGTTGCACTCCTGCCTAGAAAACCAGACAAGCAGACACTGAGTAAGAAACCTTCCAGTCTTTTCACTGTCCTAGAGATGTTTCAAACCAAGCAACTTACGTGAGAGATAAAGAGGCAGAAATTTTCACTTTCTTCCCTGCAGAATTTTTTTTTTTTTTTGGCTGTTAATTTCTTGTTTTAAGAAAAAAATATATTGTTTTTAAAGTTGCTCCTTGTGTGATATCTATCCTCAGTGAATACAAAGTGAAGAACAATTTTTTTTCTATCCTTTAAAAGATATTGTCTAATCACCGCAGTGCCAAATTTCAGAAGATGGGCTGGAGAGGGATATTTTTTCTTGACAGTAACTTCTCTGTTACTGATAGCAACATGCAGGAAAGGAGTTTTATTCAGTGAACCACTTTTACCCTCTATGTTAAAGATATGTATTTCTTTGCCTTTGCACCATAAAAGGACAGCAAATGCGTCTTACACTGTGCATGGAAGACAAACATGGTGCCAATACATACTGATTCCCTTCATACTATGGGACTTCTTAATTAAGTTCATAATAAAACAGGTTCAGTTGAACTGTTTTGAAAAGAACGTTTAGAAAATGAATTTTAGTTGAAGGGAAAATTACTAACATGAGCTTTTCACAGGACAGAAGTTGGACAGCTAACTCAGAGCTGAGTCGGTAGAGGAAATGACCAGAAGTGATTGCAGGTAAAAGTTTCTCCATGAACTCTCATGGATAGAGTAAAACAAGACAAAGCTATCAACAGAGCTTGCGTATCTAGAATAAGTACTGAATATTTAAGCAGAAAAAATGACAATTATTTGAGGATTACTACTACCACTGCATTGATTGCTGACTGCTATTAAATTACTGTTCAAATAGGTCATATTATTTCTGAGGATTTACTGATGTGTTCGGTTTTGCTACCTGTTATAATGCAGCCTCCCTCCTAGAGAAAATGTATAGACATTTATGTTATGTTATGTCTGAACAACGCTGCTCACGTAAAATTAAACAATGGCATGTTGGTGTGATTAAACATGCTCTTATCTGTGTACACAACAGACCTCATTCTGCAGTACTGTTTATCAAATGTTTTATTTGTACAGACTTTCAATGTCCAAAGCTATTTACTGTCATAAAAATGAGCATTTGGGGATACTGTAGCATGTACTCATTGCTATGATGGTGCATTATATTCAAAATCAGTCTCCTTAGACACGCTTAATCCTTTCTAGGAAAGGAAACAAAAGAAGAGAACTCAAAACCTCAGCATCTCTAAAGAAAATAATTATCATCTTCATTGCGCAAGAACTTTTGAGATCAAGCCAGTAGCACCCTGGTTGTTTTTTGACTAAAATGCTCTGCTTCTATCCAGCACACTTACTGCACCTCCTATCTGTGTACCATATGCAGCTGTAGCAGACACGAATCAGTCACATGCAGGAGAGAGGTGGAGGAGAGCAGCCATTGCCTGTATTACATTCTGAGTGATGAAGGGATGCGCCTGCTGCCCTAAAGCCTCCTAGGAATGGGTCTGCCCACCCCCCACTGCTGCAGGTCACTCGTTTGCAAAAAATGATCTAAAAACCTGTGACAGCTCTGCCAACAGCATTTCTGGTTTTGGTCCTAATTCAGCAGGACAGACAAGATAAAAAACAACCTTATCCTCAGAACTATATATAGCTGCCTCTCTGGAAAAACGGAATGCTGGCTCTGAGGATATGTTGTAAGCTAAACAGATCTCCTGTCTTGAATGAGCATACTATGATAAATAACAAGGATTTTGTTCTTCCTTTGCTGCTAGGATGAAAGACTGAATTTATGACAAAGTAGTCAATTACCACATGCATAACATAAATTCTGATGCTCAGAACATGTTTATATCTTTATTGATCTGCTTTTTGGTAGCAAATGTCATAAATAACTAATCTTGCCTAGCAATGAGACCAACACTTAATACTGAAATGTCACCAGCACCTGTTTTCTAAACAAATCTTCTTTCCATTTCATTTTTAACATGCAGCACCATAGACTGTAATTTAGAACACACACTTCAAACCTATGAAAGGTTCGCTCAACTTTGAAATTGTAAAATCAGGTGTAGCAAATAGATTTCTCTCTGTTCTACAGATTCAACTATAACAACAGGTTTCCCAGCCTCCTTTGGGCTGAGTAAACATGGCATTTTGTTCTGGCTCATATAGGTGGCTCGGAAGAAAAAATGGGAAATCATGCAGTGGCACCTCCCTCAGTTCTTGTAATGGGTCAAATTTTGCTCAAGTTGTAGCTTTATTAGAAACACCTGAAATTCCATAAGAACAATTCTAGCAAGCATATAAAAAAATGTTCAAATGCATTTATTTACTGTACAGTGAAATCAGGGTTTTTCTAGCCTTTTACCAGGAATAAATCTACTCTATTTCTTTGGCCTGCCTTTGCATACTTGGGAACACAAAAAGCTCTTACAATTGAAGCTTTTTTATTACAAACAGTGCATTTTGTATCAAACATTCTCCCTTAGGTCGAATCTCCTTTTGTAATGACAGCATGCAGCTGATTTGAGGCAGATGTAGCATATAGAAGCTAGAAGATACGGAAAGCATACTCTAGGTGCTGACAGCATATTTCTGTTACATCCCCTATAATAGCAGAAAGAAGAAAAGAACAGAGGCAAAGCATTCAGTGTAGTCTTGCCCGTTTTCCAATAAACAAGGACAGCCACTGAAAAAGCAATCATAGATACACTACCACATCAGTCATAGAGGAGTTGAGAAACATCTTCTCTCTTACACACCGTTAAACTGACCATTTGATGCCCTCTTCTCCAAAAGTGGAAATTCGAATTGTGGCCACACTGATGTGCCTCCACACAAGCTAGCTAGCAACCACCTGGGTCGATGAGACCAGATTAGTTCTACTTGTTGGGGGTCAACAGCAACATTTTTACCACTCCCATGTGCCAGACCTGATCTGGATGCCATGGCCCACAAGATGACAGCTGACATATCTTTTCTCCCTGAAGCTTGCCTTCATCTATCAGTACATTGGAGTACTCCATGCTCAGCTCTGCTTCTGAGTACTGGATGCCTTTGAGCAAGACATCCTTTTTTTCCAGGAAAAAACTAGGAATTAAGCATTTTTCTTCATTATGCAAGTACAGCTGAGAGGAATGAAGCTTTACTATTCTCCTGCTGCTTAATTAGTCCAGTGTGAAGGAACTATTATCAGACAAACTGAGGGCTATTATTTGTTTTGTGGGTTTTTTTTGCAAGTCAAATTCTTACTGCTTATCATGTTTCCACACCTTTGCCTTTCATACCATCAAAAACACATTCCAAACAAACGTAGATTGTCTTAAACATATTTGAAACTCTTTCCTTGACAACAAGACTATTTTAACTAGAAGGGATAAATTTACCTCAAAAAACAAACTACTTCAAAATTAACACAGACATATTCTACTTTTGTTCCTCACTGGAATCAGTCATGAAGAAAACTGGAGCAGTTTAGGGTAAAATTTGGGCTAAAAGTTCTAAACATTTTCAGAAGGAAGTATGGTAGAAAGTACCAATCAGAGGCAAAAAGAAATGGCAACAGTTGGTGGTGGTGGGTTGTTTTTTTTGTTTGTTTTGTTCTGGTTCATTTTTTCAGAATCATAGGCAAATGACAACAGATGAGTGGTTGAAAAATGAGCTTCTACTAAAGCAGGATTTTGGCACTTAGTTACAAAGAAGCTTAAAGAAAGGAGTAAGGAAAGTATCTCATCAGACAACTATTTCACATGCTGTCTTTGATTCTACAATCTCTTCCGTAGCTTACTATTTCTAAAATTGCTAATGCTCCCCAAATAGACTTGTTACTCTAGCACAGATACATATCTTTCTTTCTACACTATCCTAAGCAAGTAAACTCTTGGCTATTTTTTGTTTGTTTATTTGTTTTACAGTGGGAATAGCAAGCCAATGAACAAACAAATGAAAGAAAACGAGAATAACCATCATTCATTGCTAATGATAAGGAACTCACCAATCTACTGAGAAAAAGATCTAGATGCTATGACATTCATAGGTCCTAGCACTATTCTTTACAGAGTCTGGGCTTCAAACTTCCATCCGAATTTCTCACTTCTTTGTAAAACTGCTCATTAAAAAGCTAAAAATAATTGTATCCATTATGTATCACTATTCATCTGTACAAAAATGTCTCATGCAGTACCCAAAATTGTTGGAGTTCTTTTGTCAGGTGCTACAATTTAGCATTTCAAATGAATCTTTATATGGATTCTCAAAGACTATAGTCACAAATAAAATGGAAAATTTACAGATTTGGTGGCAACCTTACAACATAGCAATTTGCATCTTTCTTTCATTTGCAAACCTCTTAGTCTTTCTAATACTGAGAAATCAGTGAATAATGTCAACTACATATCATGCTCTCAGTGACAGAAACAGTAAAATTGTCTTTATGTAGAAACAGAACATCACTAAACAACTGCTTAGATTGTGAAAAAATTGATATGCACTCAGAGCACTAACAAACTATATACTCCATATGATTTCTTAATTGAATCACTCTGATGTAAACTCAACAAGATGAAATGCAGCTTGTAAGGCTTTTTAAAAATGAGTGCAAAAATTAAGAATATTGAGACTGAAAATTAAATTTGTATTGTATTTACAATACCACTGCTGAAATAAACTTTGCTTTCTGATGGTAAATGATGACCATAAATCCTGTTATTTCACATTGTGACTTTACTACTTCCTGAATTCCTTAATTCTTGAAGTCCTTCCACTTCATGAAATACTAATTCAAAGAACCATAATAGCTCATCATTGGTTAAATAAATTTAAAAGAATGTCTGTCTCTGGAGACACCAATGCTCATTTTAATTAAGATACCATTTTGTGATGTAATGTAAATAAAGGTTATTGTATCCTCCTCCTTCAATACTATATTAACTCTTCTATCTACCCCTAGAGATCAGTCAAGATTTAAACTGCCAAGGACATTATTTTGTGGCAATCAGGCTAATTTTAGTGACTTTTGAAAAGTTCATTTTATCATGAAGTCTATATTATTTAATGAATGAATTCTGAACCACTTTATGTCTGAAATGGTGGTAAACATTTTAATCTTGAGAGAACAGTAATGTGTACGCTGTTGCTATCAAAAAATTAACTTTTCAAACAGTTATAGACAGAACGTACTCTTCAAAAGCAGTATTTTCTTTGAGCACAGAAATGAACATACGTAGAAGTCTACCACTTGTAGGAGCCAATCCTCCAATAATTGATATGGTTATTTATTCAGCCTTATAGAAATAGTAATCTCTGTTGAAAAGTCTTTAAAAATAAACAGATAATTCTTTCTCACATTATAAGTGGACCAGCCAAGCTCTTCATGGACTATTACATTGGTACAGATAAATAGAACTTTCCTGACATGTTTAAATCTATGTAATATGCTCTGTGTATCTCAGTAGATACCACATACAAATTTATCTGTCAAATATGACTTGGCTGGAGTTGTATTTTCGCAATTAAAAAAAGAATCCAGTTTCACAGACAGTGAAAAACATTCTGGCATTTCAAGAAGTGACAAAGAGGGGAAGGGGTGAGGGTGGGGAACGTTACAACGACCAGGTTTGGCAATCTTGGCATAGATAAAATTATTGTGTCAATAGAACTGAAGTCAGAAATATGCTTAGGAACAGATGAATGCTTGTTTTTTTGCCAGTACAAGGTCTGGCCCACAACTTGAACCAGATAAGCTTGTTATGCAAATGACATTAGCCATCCGGAAGGAGGTAGATAATGAAATTATTCCAAAGCTAACCACTCATCACAGCGCTTACAGAAACATCAGACAAGGTACCAACATATGGATAACAGGCAGTATGGAATTCATACAGCCATTGCTTTTAATTTATCATAAACTAAGCTGTCACAAGGCAAGCATCATCAAATATATAACTAATACACATAAGTGAGCCAATTATCCATAACAGCTAAAAGATTTGTGTTTGTATTACAATTGCTGCATCTCTTCATGTTAAGAGATTGCATATGAGTATGCTTCCCTACTTCATTGTATGTTAGTGTAAAAAATTAAAAGCAAGATCTGTAGACTTGCAGATGTTGCTAGTGAGAGGAAGTAATTAAGCAAAAGTAATTAAAAACAAATATACAATTGCAAGATATCGAAAATTGAAAGGACAAGGTTACAAACAACATACGTTGAACTGAAGGACTGAACAAATGTTAAATCTAATTTTTTATCCTGTTCTCAGATTCAGATGAGACTTCTAAAAAGGAAGACCCACTGGTGCCAGAGTTCCCCAAAATATAGGTTCCATAAATACTGTAAAAAGAATGGTTTTCTGTAACAGAATGTAATTCATCCACAACACAGTGACTTTCTTAGTTAACCACTGATTCCACCACAGATTGCAGTGTACACTGATGAGTAAAAAATGACCTGCATAATGGAGAAACAGAACTTAATTCAATCTGCTTCAAAGTGATGTACTTTTACTACTTACTCTGGAAGAGATCCTGGGTCACACTGCAGCAATGATAAAAACTGCTTCTTACTGCAGGCTAAACATCATGTCTTGCCTAACCTTCCTGGCCAATTTAAGCATCAGCATTATAAACTGTAATATTTTTAAAAATTCTTCATAAAAGTTACATTAATCTTTCTATTCTTAACTTATTCTAAAATGGGAAGATACTATTACAAAACTGACTGACACAGTTGTTAGGTACAGATATTGTACTACTCCATGAGAGACTACATATACACTGATACACAACAGATTAAAAATGGAAATATACAGATATTCAAATCTATCTTGAAAAATCAGTATTGGTGAGCAGTGTTCAAAGTATTTAGTTATCTGGAAGTAGAAACTTCACAGTGTTTAATAATATCACATCCAGAAAATCTTTAGCACCTGTGCAACATTTGTACACTACTTTTTTAGACTATTTGTACAACTTCTGTTCATATGCATGTCAGGTATACAAATTACTGAATATTAGTAAAGTGGAAAAAAAGGCAACTGTTTTCTTTCTTGTCATTTGAATTCTTATTTTAAACTGACCAGCAGCCATTTTCACTAACCCTTTTTCTCTTTGACACAAAACTCCTCTGCAAAATCATCAAGGAAATCAGTTATCAGTTATATTTATAAACATGCTCCAACTCTATTAAGAAATCAAGAAGCAAGCTAACTAAGGAGTTTAGAGAAGCTGTGAAACAAATTACATGAGAAGATGGAACTACTTTCAATGAACTGAATAGCTTTCAACATCTGAAAAACAGTGAGTTTCTGAATAAGCTAATTTTAAATCAAATAATACTCACTGTGAAATGAAATGGTTGAATCCTCTGCACCATTTTTCAGGATGCAGCAAAGTAGGAGGAGGGTTTCTGGAAAACAAAGTTTTCGGATTTAGAATCTTACTGTTTACAAGAATTTTCTCAGATGTATTCAACAAAAATAATACTGTGCCCACTAGGGCTAAAAAGAAGGTGGAAAACGTAATGTCCTGCAGATGCCTTTTCATTTTTTCTTGCTGCTGCTTTTTCATTGACAGTTTTTCTCTTTTCATGTCCTTCTCCTTTTATGTCAATACCTTTGAAGCTGGCAGTGAGTATTGCTCATAGTATGCTTAGCAGTATTTCCCTTTTAATTCAGCCTGACTCAGTAAGGATCAACTTAGATTGGAAGATTAACCTAGCCATCACACTCCTTAAGCACTTTACCCCAGATTACTGATGCTGACCATGAGTTTTTTAATGGTTATTGTAATAAGAGATACCAAGCTGTCAACATTTTGTGAGATTTCCATCCAGATTTCCATCAGTTTGGATGATTTAGGAGATAAATCCTCCATGCCGTAAATGCTATTAAAAATGGATGTTATTTTTAAAATGACATTTAATGCAGTACTGTCTCTTCCACAAGCATTATCTGGAACTCTGATGGGCTCCATGTTACTCGGCATATGACTCCTTTCTGACCATTACAGTTAAATTACATAAACATACAGGGTAAGGCCGATAGGTCACCTTAAGTGGACTAAATTTCAGTGCACCAGCCAATAGCAAGAAGTGGTCATGAATTACAAACTGTGTTATCACCTCCCAGAGGTTTCTTCAGCAACCTAACTTTTAGTAAGTATTGCAGACTATTTGAAAGTCTTAAAAATCAAACTTTTGTTTTATAAATCCTTATTAACTTTTTTGCTGCATTTGAGGGCTCAGTTCCATGGATCACATATTATCGATGTGACAAAAAGATCACATATGATCTATTCAAAAAACAGAAACACCCACTAATAGCCTGGACTGTATCATGAACTGTCTCATTTATACGAGGGACGCATCTGACAGCAAGACACTGCTTGGAAACATCTCACAATGCAAAAAGGCAAACAGCATAAATGCAACATAAATTAGTGTTGACCTGCTTAGAGGTCTTGAATTTTTCAAAAACTGATTCAAAGTAGTTACATTTAACAATTACACTCAAAGAAACCAATTTAAGAAAAGAAGATACCATGTGGGTTTGTCATAGTAGCATCGTTTTTGTTCATCTATCTCTATTCAAAAGAAATGCAGTCATCTAATTTCACTGCGGGCTGTCGTTTTCCGAGATGAGTGTGTTATTACTTTTCTGCTTTCTTATAGAAGACTCAAGGAACACAAATTTCTTTGTGAAGTGAAGAAATTCAGAATGTTGGAGATGCATACCCCTTATCAAATTTACGTGTGGGAATCATTTTCAGAGCAGCCTTTGTGCAATGAAAAAAAATCAACTCTATACAAGAAAGGTAAAACTTTCCATATAATGAAAATTTTTTATCAGCTTACACAATCCATATGCATGACCTCTGTAAACAGCTTGAAGGGTCTTTTGGCCAGAATAGCACCAAGTCTGTTGTCAGTGTTTATTTTGCAGGAAAACTACTCTGACAGGAACACAAATCTGATAATTGGTATTCTGATAAGTACAAATTTTTATTGTATTGCCTAGAAGTACAATGTGTTTCTTTTTAGAATGATACCAATACTGTCTACTGAATATTTATTCAGTATTTATATCTGAATTTCACTGCAAAATATTTTGCTTTTGCAAAAGCTCAGTTACTGCTCACAAAGCATGTAGTTTTGCCTTCCCTATTCACACTGTTTTTGAAGTCTTGCCATTGGTGGTAACAACGGTGCTAACAAGTGTTTGGAGACACTATCATAGTCTCACAAAGAACTTCTTCAAAAAAAGAAAAAACAACACAGGTACTTAAATGATTTGCAGATGTTATGATGGAAACAAGCGGAATTGTTTGGGAGAACAGAAGAACAGACCAACTGAGCAGATATTATTCAGGAAATGTATTTACTCATTTGCAGGTTAATGACTAAGGAAGGAAGTAATGTTTCTAACCACACAGAATACGTTATGTCCAATGAATCACCAAGTTACTAAGCATTCACTGAACACTATCTCAGAAGCTGTCAAGTATGTCCTGTGCCAAATTGTGAGTTATGGCCACGTACATGTGATCATGAATTCTGTAACTCTACAGATGTTCTCTTGAGCTTGATGCTTTTGCTTTTGTATTGTTGACAGAAGATCCTATGTTGCTCTTAGTGTAAAATCATAGAATCGGTAGACCCCTCTGTTCTTAATCACTAAATATTGGGCTGACAAACATGTCCAGTAAATTAATTCCTAATGCTAATCTGTAAAGCATACTGGTACCCTTTGAAGGAAAACACTACCAAAATAAAAGTACAAAACAGGGTTACCCTATTCTGACATTGTAACCAGAAATAATTTCCAGGAAGGAGTGTGACAGTCATTTAAGTTTCCCTACTGTCTATTTATCTAAGACACCACAGTGCATCTTTCATAGTGATGGCAGACAATATCAGCACTTCCACAGCACCTCCTAAGTGCACTCCTGTCATACAATTCAAATCCAACTTTTAGGCTAAGTATGCAAGAGTAACCCTCTATTCAAGTATATCAAGTATTCAAGCCTTTTTTGTGAGCACATTAATCCCTCTGCAGTTTGAAATTAATAATCCATCAAAACATCTGCTATTCCTATCACTTAAAAGAGAAAAAGTATAATGACTCAATGTTATCAGATACCAAACTGCAGAGAAACACAACACTTCTCATCACTGTGGCTCGAAGGTAAAACTAAGGCCATTTTGACACTGGCTTATATTTCTGACATCACCGAATTTTACCAATATTGAGGATGTTCCTGTGATACTCAAAATACATTCACAGATAGACTAAAATCTGCTTCTTGTTAATTTGCTGACATAATTTATTCTACCCTTTGCATATGAAATCAGAACACTTTGCACGCAACCTTTCAATCACCTTGGCCACATATACAATAAGTTAAAGGACAACACAGACTCATTTTCTACTATAAGTGATGGAAATTGGTATAAATAGATATATTAGTGGGAGCAGCAGATATACTATTTCAAAAAGCAGGTATAATTGGTCTTTACCCTTTTGCTTTACAATTAAAAATTAGTCGTAGAACAACCAGTTCTGTTTCCTCAGGCAGATGTACTGTTCTTGTGAGGGGCTGGTCTACCCTCGTATTCAGCACCTTTCGTGGTGATAGTTATGCCATTTTTCACAGGGAGTTTTGGTTCAGTAAGGACTCAAGATTCTGTCCGTACAACAGACCTCATGCAAAAGTACAATGTTCCTTAGAACACGAAGACAAGAACAAGCTTATCAAGCAAGACCTGCTGCTGAATTCTGAATGACACAAGTATAGTTAAGTGCTGGAAATATGTTAATCACTTGGACTTTACATGTTCTCTGTCATTCAGCTTGCACCAAAGTCACAGCTGGTAAAACAAAATCACCCATTTTACCACAATAAAGACAATGATACAGTAAGCATTACTTGTCCTTTATGGTAAGCTGTGAACCTAATAACAGATCACAGATATTAGATTGTTACTGGCAAATAGAAAATTAATATTTTCATCTTAAAACAAATCTGTCAAAAATTTTAAAAAATTAAAAACACACACTGCTTTTTAAGCTACTTTAGTAAACTTAGCCATACAAACAAAAACAAAGATAGAGCCCCAGTGACAAGATCATATCATCAGCCTACTATACTGTTTCTAATAGAGAAATCAGCAGATGAACCTCCAACATCTGTCACCATGAACAGGCTCTGGCAGCCACAGCCCCACACACATTGTGATGGCTTTTTTTTTTTTTTTTTAGCAAACTGAAACAGGGCAACTAGAAAGAATAATTCTGTTGACAGTCACCTACATTATATGTAAACAGAATTTAAATGAAATTAAATCATCCATTCCTATTTCCAAATGCTATGTGAAATAGCCATGTAAAAAGCGGAAAGTGAACCATATGTAATAATGAGATTTCTTTATAAAAGGTTACACATAAATAGTGGATTGTATTTAGGTAAGTGAATATTTGACATCAATTATTACCTGAAAAATTCTCATATTAGTTTAAAGTTGCACCTCTGTAAAGCATCCCCATCTTGAGTAACCCACTGAAAATAACAAAAGGATCCTTAACAGGGCTCAGAGGATCTCCCAGTCTACAAACCATTCAAACAAATATGAATTTTCCACTGATCTAATTGAAAAACTCTTATCCTAAACACTCGCCCATTCATCTGCCTCCTATTAAAGTGTACTCAGGTTTGGTTGAATTCCACTATTATATTTCACCAATGTTCATTCAGTTGGATACAGGCTATGGTTTCAGCTCTGTAAGGTTAACAGAAACCGTAGTTTAGATGCCTCCAGGAATGGAGAATCAGCACAAAATACTCAGTGTATTCGAAGGCAGGCCTTTGAAACTATTCTTTCAAAAGAAGATGGAAGAAGGGAGATAGGACATAAGGCATGTTCCTGACAAATTTATCTTATTCACAACTGATTCATTTCTAAATAGTTTCTTCTTTTCTACTTCACCTCTCCTCTCCCTTTTCTTGAAAGGAATGTTTTCCTCATGTAACTATCTAGTTCATAACTTTTATCACAGGACTTCATGAATTATCTATTAGAATAAAGGCATATTTTCTGAAATAAAGTTAAAATACATTGATTATAACAAAAATATGCTGCTTTAAACCAAGATCGAGAACTAACTTGGGAACATTAAAACCTACCAAGAAAACAGTTAAGAGGAAGCAGCATACATAGCACTACTGTCTCATTGCTGTAAAAAGTGATGATCTTGCTGAAGTACTTCACTGTCTTTTAAATACAGAGAAAGTTTTGTTTGATATTATCACACTGGAATGAATGCTCTGTATATTTCATAGATTGTACATAATGCAAAAATCTGGTTGGAATTTAAAGGCTTAAAAAATTATATTGAGTTGAAAGTAAAACTG